TTCAGGCAAGAAGTTGTGGGGTTTTCCAAGATTCCACAGTGATTGCGCTGTTGGTCATGGCCATGGGGCTCTAGGGACAAGATTGGATCAGAAAGATTATATTACAGATTCATGTGCCCAAATGATGCTTGAACTTCATCAATATTACGATCCAGATAGAGTATGTGCACATATCTGTTTTTAATAGAAATTGATTCCTTTTTACTTGTTCCAACTTCTTTGATATTCTTTGCAGATAAAGTTGAAGGTAAAAGTAGTTTCTGGGTCCGAACTTGGAGTAGTGGCTGCTGAAGCCAAGAAAGCACAAACACAATGGGTCATATTGGATAAGTAAGTTGAACTCCTTGTTATGAATCTTTGTTAATTGAGATGATTGGATTTCTGAAATCACAAAGGCTCTTATCTGATAGTTCTATTCACGCCATATTTCTTCCCTAAGTTTTTACTTTCATTTATTAAACAGAGGAGTAAAGAAGGAGGCCAAATGTTGCATGGACCAACTCGACTGCAACGTCGTGGTGATGAAGAAGTCTCGTCCAAAAGTGCTTCGTCTGAATTTGATTGGAACATCAAGTATTGAAGCTGTTGGGCTCTCTGGGTCTGAAGCATATGAAATGCATGTTGAAAAGGACTCTGATCGGTGGAATGCCACTCAGGTGCCAAATGTGACTCCAGTGAGCAGTCCAGAGCATACATCATTCACTGCTACTGATATTGAGGCATCATCAAAATCAAGCTTAGACCTGGGCAGCTCTCCAAAGTTTATCTCTGAAATTGACTGGAGGCTAAAGAAGGATTGGTTTTCCTATCACAAAGATAATCACGATGTAGATGAATCAGATTCTGACACAGATAGCGAGAAGTTGACGTCTCCTTCCACAAGTGTGAATTCCCACCAATGGGTGGCAGACATTCTTAGTTCAGCCCAAGAATATTCGAAGTATTGTAAAAAAAATTTTCAGAATTTCAATAGAATGCTGAATCCCACATTCGAGTCCTTAGATAGGAAAATCTCTGTACCTGATCGAGAGACCGAAGTTGGAGTTCCAAAACATGGGCTAGATGTGGACTTGAGTGCAAATGTGAGAGACGCAGTTTCACTAACTACCAAATCACCTCCTGATCCTCCTCCACTTTGTTCAGTATGTCAGCACAGAGCACCTGTGTTTGGAAAACCTCCAAGGTGGTTCACTTATGCTGAGCTTGAACAAGCTACGGGTGGATTCTCACAAGCTAATTTCTTGGCTGAGGGTGGATATGGTTCTGTACACCGTGGAGTCTTACCGGATGGGCAGGTAATAGCTGTGAAGCAACATAAAACAGCCAGCACTCAGGGTGACCGTGAGTTTTGCTCGGAAGTAGAGGTCTTGAGCTGTGCACAGCATCGTAATGTTGTAATGCTGAATGGATTTTGTGTGGAAGGTGGAAGAAGGTTGCTGGTTTATGAATATATCTGCAATGCCTCTTTGGATGCTCATCTTTATGGTATAGTTTTTTAAACTGATTCACATTATTCATCAATTGATGTTCATCGTGAATAGAACAGATGAGATGCTTCTCCCAGTTAAGTTCTACCATATGTCAATCTGTGAAACCAATACCCAGTAGCATGTAATATATGTCAAAACCTATGAGAGATGGTCTACAGAGCTTTTGATGTCTTGCACTTGCCCCAATTTTGCATATGCACAAGGAGATTACCTTTACCCTTACTCACCAGTTTATTTACACATCCTAATAATTTGCCTATGTATCTCTGCTTTCCATTTTACAGAGTATTAGGACAAATATCTCGTATGCACTGGATCTAATAAATGATTTGGGTATCAAATACTGTTTGAGAATGTGAATGATATCTGAAATAAGTGACTTTAAGCTGTTATGATTATTTGCAGGCCGTAAACCTAATCCATTAGACTGGTCTGCACGTCATAAAATTGCAGTTGGGGCTGCTAGAGGACTGAGATATCTTCATGAAGAGTGCAGAGTGGGCTGTATTATCCATCGTGACATGCGGCCGAATAATATTCTTCTTACTCACGATTTTGAACCACTTGTATGCCATTCTAATCTCCCTCACTTCGTTTCCAATTCTTTCTTCTATTCTTTATCATAATTGTTGAGCTTTCCTCCAAAACTAGATGAGTAAGATGGTTGTACAAATGCAAACTTAGGATCGAAAACTGTCCTGGAAAATCCTTTGCCTCATGTAATCTGGCTCAAACAGTCCTATACTTCAAAACGTTTTGTTTCATGTACAGCCTGAATATGGATTGCAACCTTAGTATAAGCAGCAATATTTTTTTTTTTTATAATGATTGTTACATGATAAAATGATAGCAGCAATATAAAATGATAGGAGTGTTTAGAAATATTCCCGATGGCAAATCTTTTATCCATATTTATTCTGTTAAAAATTATTGCCTAACAAAAAGAAAATGCAGGCTCTGTAAACAACATGATCTTTTCTTTCACTGTCTCACTCAAGGTGAGATGATGTTATGCCAGTAGTCATGTAAGCAAGCTGCCTACAGCTGTACAACCTTTTTGTTTTCACAATGTCATCTCTGGTACATTGGCAATATGCTTGTGTCTTATAGATGGGGGTGCAGATTTGAATTTGTAAATGCAAATCCCCTTGCCAAGTGTGAGCTGATTGTTAAGTATCCTCTAATAAGGCCTTCATTGTATGAAGGGGCATGTAAAGCCCTTTTCTAATTTTCTTGCTCAACCTCATTTCATGGTCATTTCATGGTCATTTCTGCAGTTCTGATCCTTATCTTAATTTTTTTGTTCTTTCTTCTTTTGTTTCCATGTCCTTTATCCTTGAACTAAAGGTTGGAGACTTTGGACTAGCAAGGTGGCAGCCAGATGGGGAGATGGGCTTTGAAACAAGAATAATTGGAACATTTGGGTAAGTATGATGATCTCAATTCTCGGGCACACTGTTTACGTGACACTCATGTGACATCCCATCTTCCTTAATGTAGATACTTGTCTCCAGAATATGCTCAGAGCGGTCAAATCACTGAAAAAGCTGATGTATATGCCTTCGGTGTAGTTCTGATAGAGCTGGTCACAGGAAGGAAGGCTGTGGATATAAATCGGCCCAAGGGTCAACAGTACCTCACTGAGTGGGTATGTCTGATTATAATCCTTTTACACACAGTTCATCAATGTACGAATAGAAAACTAGCTGTAATGGTATCTTCTGAAACGTCACAATGTCGAAAGTTGCAAACTTAGTAATTTTCTGATAGACCATAATCCCTGAATGGACAACATAATGATGTGTTTATATATCTGTTTTTGTTGCAACAAAAGGTCTTAATTCCTTATTCTGCAGTGGTTGCTTGGCTTCTCACATTTGGATGTCATACAGGCACGCCCTCTTCTGGAAGAGTATGCTATTGCAGAACTAATTGACCCCCTTCTGAGGAGCTGCTACTCGGAGCAGGAGGTTAAAAGCATGCTGCGTTGTGCTTTCTTGTGCATACAACGAGACCCCCATTCACGGCCCCGCATGTCTCAGGTATACAACTGAGTATAGGACAAATCTTGACACTGAATAGTCCCTTTTTTTTATTTTGTCAAAAGCGGCAGAAATTCATTAATATGCACACACATGTACAAGTAATCTGTATATCCGAGGTAAAGGCCTCAAAACTCACCTACTGTGCTGACCATGGAGGTATTCTGTCATGCCAAACCGCATCAACTTTCAGTTTTGTTGCATATCTAGCTATACTATCAGTAATTCTGTTACTATCCTCATTAATTACGTCATAATAGCACTTCCTTTATTACCTTCTCAGAAAGACGACTTTTTGGAGCAATTCTGAAGGGCTGAATCAGTTTGAAAGTCTAGCTATGGTGCTTGCATATATGCTTATATTTTGCTCTCTCTTGCACTTCCTCTGAATCTGCAGGTTCTTCGGATGCTGGAAGGTGATGGTTTCATGAACTAAGCAACAAACATACTCCCCGGTGAAACAACCAGAATACCCCATGGCGCTGCCTCCTAATCAGAAATAAACAAGGACAAAGGCAAGAGTAAAAATCTTCATCAAGAAAGCAGCCTGATGACATTTGCATAACTCTCGTGTTAAGCTCTCCTTCAGATGATGATCAAAGGACAGCTTATGAAGGTGTCTTCTGTGAGAAGCGGAAATGATGCCAAAAATGCAGCATCATTGCTCTTTCCCGTGACAAAAAATGCATGGAATATTTGTAGCTGTGAAAATTATTCGTCCAGCCTAATGATTTTTGTATTTAGATTATTATTATTATTGTTGTTGGTAGTGGTGGTGGTGGACATTTTTTATTGGTACTTTTTTATTTTTTGTATTGATAAAGAGAACGGAGTTTCAAGGTATAGAAAATGGCGATGACATTTATGTTTGGATAGCAAATTATTTAAACAAATTTATCTGCTTGCATTATAAATATATTTTTTAACTACATTTTTATTTCACATATGTCACACTAAAAAGGTGTTACAGTATTTTTTATCAAAAAATTATCTCAAATAATCTTCTATCCGAACGTGTTGATTTATCATCATTATTAGTATCATTTTTGCCAAGAATCCAATTATTGATCTAGGGCGGATCCAATTCATTGGCAAATGAAACATTCACTTTTATTACTTCATGTATTAGTATTTGGCCTTATGATCTATCATCCCATAATAAAATTAATAATACTTGGGAATTTTGTATTATTGAATCTTATGGTGTGTCGTCCCATAATATTATTAACAACTAAAACTAATACTCCATTTTAGCACGAGGTTTGTTAGCTCTTTAAGCAAAGAAGTGGCTGGAAGTAGAAATTGAGAACAGATTTCACAATTTGATTACGTTACAAATTAATTTGTTGTTTAAAATAAATAAAAAGAAGAAATCTACTATGTTGCGGACTAAAATGCATTAACTTTAATTGTAAAGGGCAGAAAAAGATAAATTATAAATGTCACCGACTCCTACTGCAAAATTTCCTTGTGAAAGGTAAATCTGAGAAAATAAAAAGTGCTAAAATAACAAAATTAAATGGAAAAACAAAAAATTCCTCCTTCCCCGGCTGGAGGCATGAGTTCAGCGCTCAGCTTCGGCTTCCGGCGGCCGCTTTCTTTAGCTCTGAGAGGACTGATTCTCCGGCGATTCTCCTCCTCCTCCAATCCACTCCACTGTGAAACATTCTCTCTTCTCCTTTGTTGAAGAACATTTATTTTCAGGACTACATATATTTATGAGCTTTGCTTACGGTCATTGCTTATTCGTAATTGCGATTTTTTTTCCTTTTTTGCAGGCTTTGCTGAGGAAGACAAGCATGATGGCACAGAAAAAAGAGACCCACCTCATCATAACAGGCCTACCTTCATTCATCCCGCTGCTATCGTTCACCCTGAAGCCATTTTAGGCCAGGTACCTTTTTCCTTTTTCTTTCTTTCTTCATTTCCTTTGTGGGTTTAGGAGTGTATGAGGGGATTTTTGAACATTTTAGCTCCTGAAATTTCTCTTTAAATGATTCTTGATACTCTAAAATACTATTGGATGTTGCTTAAGTTATCCCTTGTCGGCTTATGTAATATGATCAAGAATGGTGTTCTGTGGCTGAAGTTCCAAATTTTATTTGGTGGGCTGGACGCAAGTTGATATTGGCTATTTCTACTTCAGTGTCATTTGTTGAACAAATGCTTGGATGAGGAAACAATTAATCAAATTCGAGTTTTATATGGGAAAAATTTAGAAGCTATGATGCTAGTCAGAATTTCAAACTACATTTCCCATATATACAAAAAGAAGCTCAATATTTGAACTCTAGGTTTTTGTACGTGGATTCCAGGGCATGTCAATTACCCATGGTTTGATTTCAAATACTCGAAGCTTGTTTCTTACTAGGTGGCTGAGTAGTTTCATTTGGATAATGGCTACTTTGAAGAAAATTTTGGAACTAAATGATCCTTATCAATAACTTTTTGACAGCCTAAGTTGATTTTACTATGCAAAAGTTGTTTCCGAGTTTCCTTGTTGGCAATAATGCTGTTCTGAAATTCTTTATAGTTCAGGTATTGGAATATCTTTTTTAGTGAATATGGCTCTAATTTAAAGCCTTTGGCAAATGGAATTTAAAGATACCGATGGAATACTAGAACATGATGGTTCTGATAAAATATTGAACAAGCAGAGTAGGAATAAAAAAGTTTACACGAATTTCTGTCAAGTTTTCTAGAAGAATGCTAAGGTTATTTGTGCCATAAAAGACTACAAATCATTTGCAGTTAATTGGATCTTCTTGGGAGAATAACTCCTTAGAATTGTCATTGCTCTAGCTTCTAAAGTGGTTGTCTTGCAATGCTATGGCTTCTGTTAAGTGTTTGTACTATTTAATCATATTTTTTGTGATCTTGCAATCTAGATGGTTTTTTCTCCCTTCATTAGTTTATTAATTTCTGTTCATGCAAGGACAGATTAATTTTATAGCATATCTACTTTGTTATCACAGAGATTTTGTAAGCCTTGCAACCAATGCATCTTCAGAAACCTTTATAGATGGTAATCTTTTACAGGATTTAGTTGCCAATGTGGATACTTTAGTGACCATTTTGATGACTTCTGTTTATGAAACAATTGGAGCTCATTGCAAGCTATTGGCCAGTTCGAATATATTTTTTATTATGAGAAGATAGAGCAAAAACATTGAACTCTGAGCAGGTGAAAGAATTAGCATTGTTTCTTCTTCCTCCCTTGAATCTCCTAACATGTTTGCCATGGTATTTATGTACGTCAGGCATTTTAAGTTAAACGAGTCTGGTGGTTAATGTCTACTGATCAAGCTTTCCCCATCAGAGAAGCATGTATGTCTTCTGATGCAAGGAAAGTAATTTTGTCAAGTCAGTTCAAGACATCGTTTTCTTCTAGGTGTTTTATGGTATTGGAATGTTGATAGTGAAGGTATATATTCAGTATCTAGTTTGATTTATTTGGAGAACATAAAATGTTTGTTCTGCATAGGGTGTTTCTATTGGTCCCTTCTGCACAATTGGACCTTCAGCAAAGGTGGGGAATGCTTGTCAGTTGTACCCTGGCAGCCACGTCTTTGGAAACACAGAATTGGGAGATAACTGTGTTTTGATGGTGTAAGTTGAAGATTCTCTTAACTATTTATTCTTTTAATATAGCTGACACGCAGTTCCTGTGTAGTCATTCTGCTTGTAAACCTTTTTTGTTGTTCTTTTGTTTTTCCTCTGCAATAACTTATGTCCAGTATGTGTTGATATCTACCAGTGGTGCTGTAGTTGGAGATGATCTTCCTGGTCACACTGTCATTGGGTGCAATAATACCATAGGACATCATGCCGTTGTTGGAGCTAAATGCCAAGACATGAAATACAAGGTCAGCTTTCTAGAATTCTGGATGACATTCTCCATTTTTGCATTGATGGATTGGTTGAAACTGTAAGCTTCTAACTCAACTTGGAAGAGTATACAAAGTCTGACTCAATCCACAAGACTCCTTAAATCATTCTGTGCTAGTGACAGTTATCTTTTTTCTATCTATTGCACATCAGTTGATTTTAAAAGCTATTGGCTATTGCCGATTTTGTTACCTATGATATCTTGTTTCTCTATTGATACTTTAGGGTTAACTAATTGTAAGAACGTCAATCCAATTTCTACATCTTAATCCCTTTGGAGAAACACGTGCTGCAACGTGGTTGACTGTTTTTTGGTTCTGAAAGGTTTTGAATATTTCCATTCAATGTACTTTTATTTGTTTGAGTGATTGTTTTTTATAACATGCACGTGGCTGTATGTTTCTTAAACTCCATGCAAAACTAAAGGCATGATCTGTAAAGCTGATTAGGTTGTGGGCTTCTTTCTAAGAAGCATGTGCTGTGTTTCTTCTCACTTTGTCCAAGTTATAGCTTCAAAATTTCTGGTGTCCACTGTCCACCGTCCGCTGTTCTGTTGTATTGCGTCTTATTCTTTCTTTTTCTCTTCTAAAGGTTTTACTGATTCTTGTACTAGCTTGTACTTTAAATCTTTACAGTTTCTCTTGAACATTGTGTCATAATAACCATCTCTTGATTGTTTTAGCCAGGGAATGAATGCTTCCTTGAGATAGGCGCCAACAATGAGATTAGAGAACATACATCTATTCATCGATCTTCAAAGCCAAGTGACATTACTGTATGAAAATATACATGCTACTTTTTTCATTCTTAAACCCAGAAAACCCAATCTGATTCATGATTTGTTTCTCTAATCAGGTCATTGGTGATAACAATCTTATAATGGGATCTTGTCATATAGCCCATGACTGCAAAGTGGGTAGTAACAATGTTTTTGCGAATAATACTCTTCTAGCAGGTCATGTTGTGGTGGAAGTGAGTCACAGTATCTGTTCTACTCTTCTTTTGCAATGCTAACCTAGATAACTCTTTCAATGATACTTGTGCTGTATTGTGATTGATGCATTCTGCTTGTAGGACCATGCACACACTGCAGGAGCAATTGTGGTTCATCAATTTTGTCATATCGGTTCATTTTCTTTCATAGGTGGTGGTTCGGTGGTATGTTCATGCATAATTTCATGTTCTCCATGTTAGCATTACAATTGTTTATGTTGGTCTATTAAGTAAGCTATTTAACACAGATGAGTAGGTTAATTTCCATGGATGATGTTCCATTTTTCATTTTCTGCAGGTCTCACAAGATATCCCCAAGTACATGATGGTGTCTGGGGAAAGAGCTCAGCTTCGTGGGTTAAATCTGGAAGGTCTTCGGCGTCATGGATTCTCTGTTGCAGAGGTTAGTTTCTGGTTGAAATCGGTCCTTGATTGGTTTTACAAATTAGGTCATGAGTTTGTGTGGAAACTTATGCTTATCTCAGCAATTGATAACCATTCTGATCGTCAAAGAACCAAAATAATATAAGGGCCGCATTATATGGAAATTGCTCCACCATATTTCTTTTTAAGTCAAATGAAATAGATGACCATCCTGTATTTTCTGTATATGTATGATTATAGCTCTCTGTCTAAATAATCATCCCTTGCTAACTGTACAAGTTCAGCAGCAGATAATTTTTTCTCATCTCGTGCTTTCCGGCTAAGGTTATAGTATCTGATGCCTGGGATTGTCTGATGTGTCGAAATTTTGTTCATGGGGACATCAGTGAGACAGTGACTATGATGGAACACATGAATTTTACTGCTGTTCTGGTCTTGTATCCAGCTTTTTAAAATACCTAGCAATTTGTTCCTTTCATTTTATTCCCTTTCTTTTGAGGCAGGAATCTTTTGTGTTACATTTGAAATGCTGCTTTATTGCTTCTACATTTACTTCATCTTAGAATTATTTCCCTGCATTTCTGCAATGGTTCAGATCAGAAGCCTGAGAGCAGCTTATAGAAAAATTTTTATGCCCATTAATGCTAATTTGAGGGGCGTTGAAGATCGAATGGTTCAAGTAGTAAGTTATTCGAATGTCCATGGTTTAGTTAAAGTAAATCTGCAAGACAGAAATATGGTAACCTGAATTTTGAATTTTCAGGAGCAGGATGAAGAACTGGTTCTTGTCCCCACTGTTCGTTCCATGCTACAATCCATACGGGATTCTTTTGCAGAAGATCGACGTGGAATTTGCAAATTTAGATCTTGGATTGAAACTTAGACTGCAGTCCAGTAAGTCCACATCCCTTTGTCTTACTCTTAGAATTTAGATCTTGGATTGAAACTTAGACTGTATCCGCTGCAAGTTTTTTGATGTATGTCGAACCGTAAAAGTTGTATGTAATTAAAGTGGAAGAAAAATGAAAATTTGTGTCTGCTCTGGCAGGTTTATGAATTGAAGGGGCACTTGGAAGTTTGGTGTTACAAGTTTTTTATAAATCCCCCTGTTTACTTCTTCACTGATTCTGCCCTTAATGCCTTTTTCTCTATCCAGTAGAGATAGCCAAACGTAAAACCTGCCTCAGCATCATTTCTTGTATTTCAATGTTCAATTGTGGAAGTTGTAAGAGTGTATGTATACTAGGTAGCTTTTGTGAAGGATAGTCTGCAAGAAAACCTCCCTAGTGTTCAGGTATGACAGTTTTTCATCTATTCATACGATATACGTATTGTTGATCATATTAATGGTAATCTGTCTGGATGAATAATCAAGTTTTTTAATCATCATATCTATTCTATTTCAAGCCTTCTTGGCTTCATCACAGACTAAAGATGGTTCTTTCATTCTTAGATCTTTTACATTTCCGTCTCCCCTTACCAGCGTTGCCTTGCGCCCCATAGTGGAAAAGGATCAAAATTCAAGATCATTAGCTCTGTTAGATTACTACTACTCTCTGAAATGATTAATTGCGCCAGAAACTGGACTGATGTATGAAACATCATAGCTACTTTGCCCCCTCTTCCCTCCCCCCGCGGAGGGGCATTTTCTTGAAGCACTATGCTTATTTATTTATTGTTGATTACCAAGTTCCTGTGATCCTTTTATTTGGCATTGTATGCTTGGGAGATGCAGGTTTTACATTTGCTCTTTGCCTCCACAACCTCCTCCTCTACCTCTGCACCACCAATAGGTAGGACAAGAGATGCAGTGTCATCAGACTCCTCCCTCATCCCCTTGGATGAATGAAGAAACTAAAAAAGGTGACTGTGATAAAGTGATAACAGACAACTGAGATCTTGCAAATGACGTGGATGATCAGATTTTTAACCTTCTTTAGTCTTTCCATATGAAGATTTCAGTCAAACATCCACTCATTATGGACAGAAACTCGGCTATGGGGAATCTTATCTTCAGTTCTTGGATAGGGTCCGATGTAGGTTATTTCAAACCGTCTTGAAAAGGATAGGACACTGTTTTCTGGAGATAATGATATCCTACTAACTTGTGGCTTTTGACGCAATTAGATGCACTAATTTTTTTTTCCGCCACTTTTTGTCAGATGCATCCCTAACTGTTATCTGTCATCTGTCACATACAGAATTTGAACCTGACGGCTGAGAGATTAGATGCACTAATTTATCTAGTGATGAGTGAAAAACACTTACTCGACAAATGTTCGGTAACAAGATAAAAAGTCAAGGAAGGTTAGGAAAGGAACGTACGTTTTCTTTATCTTTATTATTCTTGATAGAAGATTCCTTCATGACAATGCCAACATATGTGACTGAAATGAGGGATCGAATGGAAATATTGGTTTAAGCTGGATTGAGTAAAACCTACGTAATTGCTAAAAAAAAAAAAATAAATTGCATAGACGAAGCTGTGGAGCTACTTGCCATTAATCAATGACTAGCTAAATTGTCTAGCAGGTACCCCACTGAGAACAGAATCTGGCTGAGGAAGATTTGTCTCCAAAATAAAAAGACCTCAATCAACATCAGATGTAAACGAGATAAAAGAAGACATTCAGTGCAGTAGACCAATACGGGACTGTGTTTATTCAGTGCAGTAATGGAGCGTCAGGCATTTGTACTGGATAAAAAACCAAGCACAATAACACAACCTTGAAAGACACACTTGGGTAAAACTTGAAACTGAGAATTTCGCTCATTTTAGACTTCTTCACACTTGGCTTTCTAGTAGGTAGTTGTGGTTTTCTATTTCAACACTTTTATAATCATTGTCTGCTATTGGTAATCACACAACCAAGAGTTGGATAAGTGGTAATGGCTGTTCTTTCCCAAGATAATATATTTCAGTTGATCAGCTGCCCGCTGTTTAATTTGCCTGAGTCTTCGCTGATTTTCTTTTTATATGATTACAAAATACCAAGAACCAACATACATACTGTTCTTTCTCTAACGAGTTCCTTTTTTTTATTCAATCTACACAGAGTGAGATTGAAAAATATTACATCTGATGATCCACAAATAGTGGGATGACAACTAACATATAGTAGTTAGACTATCATATAGCTAACCCTGGTTTTTTTTTTATGTGTTTTTGAAGTATAAACAATAAATTAAAAGAGAAAGGATGGTGATGTTATAGTCATTAAATATAGTCTGCCGGTGTGCCAAAGGTGGCAATGAGATTGTGACAAATATTCCTATTTTGTGTGATAATCGGATTTGTATAAATTGCAGAAGAACAATAATTAGCTCTATTTCCACATTGGCAATGAGATTGTGACAAATATTCCTATTTTGTGTGATAATCGGATTTGTATAAATTGCAGAAGAACAATAATTAGCTCTATTTCCACATTGACTTTTTAACTTTTACTTCGGTTTCTTGAATATACAATTTCCAAATTCCTCTCCCAGGTCTCGAAATAGTGACTTGTCAAGTGTCATATAATATGTAGAATAAGAGAAGAAATTGAATCATTCAAAACTATTAGTAGTTCTGCTTAATTTCCTGACGATCAACAAAAGTTTGCTGACTTCCCTTGTTCTCTTCAACATATGATCGCGCATCAATTTAAGAATTCAAATGGAGACTTTGATTGGGCTGAATTTCCTAGGAAATGCATATGTTAATTTATGAACCTCAATTTTAAAAGCAAGGAGGTTCTTTTCTCTTTCCTTCTTTCTGTTTTTTCCCCCGCTAATGATGGTCTTCTCCCCCTCTCAAATCATCTAACAACCTCTTTTAAACCATTGGAGGAGGACATCCTCTATTAGGGTTTCGTGTTTGTAGAAATGTCACTCATTTCCATAATTGGTTTAACTTGTCAATGCACACTAGCTAACTTCCACTATAATCTTGTATCTTAATGGAGTTCAGTCTATATACTACCGATTTTGCTGCAGCAACCAAGGGATACTGTGTGCTTTACTGTGTGTGTGTGTGTGTGAACCTTTTACTATCACAAGCAACATCCAAGAATTATATCTAATTTGGCTTTGACGGTTGATAGTAAATGACGGATCAAAGTGGGGGTTGGAGCCAATGAAGGTTTAGTCTATGCAAATAGGAAAAGGTTTAAGCTTCAAGGGATTACCATGCATTAATTTTGTTTGTTAGTTAATGTTTGTATTCTTTATGGCTAACATGCTAAGTAAAAAAAGCATATTTCAAGGGTCCCTCCCAGCACTGAAATGGTAAACAGATATCTTATCTAAGATAAGCCTTGGTTCTTCCTATAGTATATATGTGGAATATCCCCATTTTTGTTTAAGAAAAAAAAGTAAAATGTGAGGAGAGAGAGTTATTGGTTTCTTAGGTATGAACCCAAGTTGGAAAAATCCTACAATAAACAATGTGCATCCAATCATCTACCATTGGTGTGCATCCATTTTCCTAAACCCCACCTCACTCAACACATCATTATGTCTATATATATTCACTTGGATAGTTATTCAAGAGCTCTCTCTCTCTCTCTCCCTCTTCTTTTTTTTTTCCTATCTCTCTCCCTTGGATGTAGGTAGTTTGGGAAGTTATAGAGCATTGTCTGGGTGAAAATGGGCAGAAAGTGCTCACATTGTGGGAACATAGGCCACAATTCAAGGACTTGTACCGCTTATTCTAGGGGCAATATTAGTGTTATGGCTGCTGGCTTGAGGCTTTTTGGGGTACAGCTTGATGTCCCGTGTAATTCTGCTCCTTCTTCTTCTAATTCTAATTCCATTGCCATGAAGAAAAGTTTCAGCTTGGATTGCTTGTCTTCATCACCGACCTCATCTCCTTCACCATCATCGTCACTCTCTTCATCAAGAATTTCCATCAGTGAAAATTCTGACAAGATATCTATTGGTTATCTCTCCGACGGACTCTTAGGTCGACCTCAGGAAAGGAAAAAAGGTTTGTAATGAAATCATACTTTCCCTTTTCTTTTCAAGTATTGATTGTTCGTATGGTTTCTTTGAAATCATTTTGGAGAATACAGCCTCATATCTTCAACAAACTCCTTAACTTATTTGTCTGCCTTGAAATGGTAACTGCACCAAACAGTACTGATCACTACCACGCATGCTTCTTTCTACAATAAGCAATTGTTCCATTTCAAGAATAAGAATGTTTTCTTCCTCAAGCAACAAAGGAGAATAAGAAATGCACAGGGGATTGACTGCACACTTTTTCATGGAATTTGTGTTTATATAGTAGGTCTGTATCTTTTGTGCTAAACATAGTTCCCTGTGAACTTTCCGAAAGATATGATTAATAGATGTCACCCATTATACATTCCCATAAGCTATTTAATATTACCAATCCCAGCCTATCTAACTTGCCTCTTTCTGTAAAATGTCTGATAGTGATATCTCGAGCACGACTATTTAGACACCATAGTCAATTGTAAAAAGGTTGTCAGTCTAAACATCTCTGTGGGCTTCTTCGACCATATATATGAGCATCGGGACTACGATAAATAAGCTTCTTCTTCTTCTTTTTTTCTTTTCCCCTTCCCAAAAGTGAAATTGATAATCAAAATGCAGATGGTAACTTTCTGTTCTAGCAATTTAGATAGCGGCCCAGTGGGTAGCATGTGCAGGATTAATGGCCTTAATTAATGAGTATTTGATTTGTTTTAACTGTTGATGGTATAGGGGTTCCATGGACAGAAGAGGAACACCGTTCCTAGTTGGACTTGAAAAGTTAGGAAAAGGAGACTGGAGGGGAATTTCAAGAAACTTCGTGACCACAAGGACACCAACCCAAGTTGCCAGTCATGCTCAGAAGTATTTTCTTCGCCAAGCCAGTCTCAACAAAAAGAAAAGGCGATCCAGCCTATTTGACATGGTAAATTTCACGTATTATGTGTCCATCATCCTGACTTAATTACTGTGTCAATAATAAGTTTCAAATTCTTTGCCACGAAATTACATATCACACTGAACTGATTTCTATCAACATGATCCAACAACAGGTTGGGAGCAAGAACGCAGCCCGTCATCAGGTTTTCGATTTGAGTTTCGAGCTAACTAATGATACAACCTCAGCTACTTGTCTGAGCAGCAAAGCAAGCTCAGATCTTGACACAGCTGCCCCTTTGTTAGACCTTAATTCATTTGCTGTGGATACTACAACCAATCACCAAGATTGCATAGAAGTTCAAGAGGGCTCTTCATCACATCACATGGATATCGACTCCATGTCCATTTGGCCAGCTGCATCCGGATCTTCAAGCTATCAGCTCTCGAATATTTCCTCCATCACAAGTACTACCGGAGCTCCTGATTTGGAGCTGACTCTGGCCGCCCCGAAGACGGCGGCTCAAAACAACCCTCCCCCGCCTCCAGCTTCCATCCTAATTATGGGACCAATCAGTGTTATCTGACTTGCATATGAAGAAACATAAACAACTCAGAATACCCTTATGGTATCATATCAATTCATAGATCAATGAAGTTATGTATTGTTCATTAAAAGTTACTATCTGCGGAACAGAACCAGATGATCAAAAATTTGTTCCTCTAACCTTTAACGAACAAAATTCTCTTAGAATATGAGGTTATAAACCATGCAGAGCATATATCAACCTGAAATCAGCTTGTAAAATTTTTAAAGACATAGATAGAAGTCGATGCATTGTCTTCAAAAAGACCAAGACTACCCGAAAATTTTCGAGTCAAATTATTGCTCAAGAGATGATGATGCAATTTTAACAAGTAAAGCTAGCAGCCTTACCAATATTGAATAAGTAATTATCTATCTACTTATCATCACAATGCCACTTATTTTGAGAATTTTCCGTCTTAGAGGTTAGGAAAGGTATTCTGTGAGGAGGGCTGGATCCACTTGAATATGTAGTTGCTCTCATAATTCAGAACAGTAGAAATTGCATATGGGATTATTAAATAGGACAGCTTCATCGTACGGATTCGGAACATATATATATTAAGTTAAGGCAATTGGATTCTAGTGGGCGTCTTTCTTGGCTGGCTCTTTATAGTCTGCTCAAGCAAATTAATAAAGAAGAAATTATGAAGTTAATTACTTCATGGTAGGCCACAAGTTGACGCAACCGTAATCCATAGTAGTAGTATTATTTTTGTCGCCAGTTCGAGCCTATTAAATTAATCAAACTCCTACTTAATTATGCAACTGGTTCCAAGAAGCCCTAAACGAATTTAATTGACTTTTGCTTTGAGTTTCACCTATATAATCCTCTCCACAAAAAAAAATTTTATATTGACATCCATCGACAGTATTGCTCTCTAAGAATGTTACTGCTAATTACTAAGAAACATTTCCACGCATGTTTTTGCAGACGAATATGTCGTGTTCAAGGCAAGAGATGACAAAATTGTAAGCTCTCAAGTTTAAAATGTATCCATCCAATACAATGGTATATGAAATTTAAAGGTGTACGACAGTATTGCATGATAAAATGAAGACGTACGTACGTGTATTTAGAACTTAGTTGACAATAACATATTTCAAAGATCTGGGAATTCTGATCCAGAACTATTTAACTTGGTACACATAATTTCTGGGCAGTCTGATCTTAATGGAAGTTTTAAAGTCTCTGATCAGTAACATTTCAATAATAAAGGCTGGTGGTAACATTTCCAAGATTAATCATTTCTAGATCCCATCAATTAGTTAGCCAGCGCATTCATAAGTAGATAGCTACTTGAGAATTGAGATGGCAAAACATCCTGCTGTTTCTAACCTTAATTTGTCCATTCCTGTACAACCTTTAATAAATTATCAGAAATTTGTGCTGGAAAGCAGAAGAAGACGGTGCATTCTCACCATCAAGAATTGAATGCTGACACGAGTTATTTACTCACGTTATCTAAAAATTCGTACAAGCCATATGGGCGATTCTAGGCGCAATTATATTACATAGACAGTAATCGTTCTCAGAAGGATATGTGGACCGACCTGTTGCTTTCCTTAAATCTGGATCATAAATTCGGACAGGGGAAGTGTAGTCCATTATGGTTAAAATAAATCATTTCCGTTGATGCTACAAACGACTCAAGAATCAGTGGTAGTTGTTTCAATACACACTGTAGTGGGGCAAATTTCCCAGTAGCCACGTGTCAGTTCGGACATGAGGACCTGTCAGCTCGGCCAACTAATCTACGGATGCCACATGTCAGCTCGGCTGTTGTGATATGGCAGCTCGGGCAGAGCAGTTCGGAATAGAGGGAGGTCAGCTCAGCCGTAGCCGCCGCCTCTCCATGAAGTGGGCCTGATGGGCCGCCGCCTCCGGACCTTTAGGGGTTGTCATACGAAACCCTAGAAGGACTCCGAACTCTAAGGGGACTTTGACTCCTATATGGAAACTACTACCCATTAAAGCCTATATATACAGCGCCACAAGACGACACAAGGTACACCATCTATAGTACTCTATACTGTGACCCTACTCATAAGCTCTACTGACTTGACCGTCGGAGCTACTCCGGGGACTTCAGCCCCGCCGTTGTTCTTTCCTTGCAGGGCTGCCTGCTCAACTTCCCCCTCCCAGCTCGGCTACACTCAGCCAACCCGGCTCGTAGCAGCTCAGCTCGGACTGTGCCTTTGGCTCCCTAACCAGCTCGCCAGCTCGCTCCCGCTCAGCTCGCTCAGCCCGTCGTGGGAGTTACTCCGGGGAGCTAGCCCCCTCCGTTTATTCTTCTCTCTGCAGGACAGGTCGTTCGTTCTCTCCCTGTCAGTTCGGCCCCTCAGCTCGTTCCCACTCAGCTCGCTCATCCCGTGGCAGCTCAGCTCGGATCTTGTTTTTGGCAGCCGCATCAATTGGCGCCGTCTGTGGGAAGCACGTATAATTCTTCTCTTGCGAATCATGTCAAGAACTAGGTCTCAGAGGAACACTGACGGATCCAAGAGGACTGAACGAAGTGGCCCCCAAAACCCCCATCGGGGTCCGACTCCTGGAGACGAGGGGACGGGGCTCTCACGAATTCCGCCTGAACAGCTGGTTCAGACGGTGGCGGAAAACCTACCTACCTTCGAGGCAATCATGAACTACCTCAAAGGGCAGACGGGAGGTCATCATGACCAGGAGCCTAAGGTCCAAGAAGTGGAAGGAATTGGGCGGTCAAAATCCCGAACGGGAAGTCCTAATCCCCGGCCGAAGCGGGCGCGCGGGGAGCTCATGCATGAACAGATTGAGGTCATGGAGCCTTCCCACAAGAACTCCCGAACTGAGCACCCGGAGCCCTTCCGAAGGTTTTCAAGGGGAGAGCTCTCCCCACGGAAAGAGCAACACCAGGTACAGGACGAGCTGGACCTACTGTTGGACCCTGAAGCGGACAGGTACATTGCTTCCCCCTTCGTGCCCGATATTGAGGACTACCCGCTGCCCGCGAAATTTAAAATACCGACCATGAAATCTTACGATGCAACCACGGATCCGGAGGATCATCTGTTCGTATTCATGACGCAAATGCACCTGCAAACGGCCGCGGATGCGGTCAGATGCAAGACCTTTCCAATGTTCCTGGAGCGAAAGGCGCGCCAGTGGTTCCAGGGACTACCCCCCAGGTCAGTTCGGTCCTTCAGCCAGCTTGCGCGACTGTTCTCAACTCAGTTCATTTCGTCGCGAGTCTTTTCCAAGAGCACTGCTCACCTGATGACAATCCATCAAAAGCCTGAGGAGTCGCTGCGGGGATACATGGTGCGATTCAACAACGAGTCTCTCCAGGTTCGAGATCGGGACGATAAGGTCGTCATGGCCGCCTTCATTAACGGACTGCGCAAGCAGAAACTATACAGCGAGTTCGTGGAGAGACCTCCCAAGTCAGTTCGGGAGATGCTGAATCGAGATCACGAGAAAGCTAATGCAGAGGAAGCCAATCGCTTGAAAAGCAGCCCAGGCCGAGCTGACCGGAGACACAGTTGAGGCCGAACAGGCCGG